AGAGAGAGAGAGAGAGAGAGAGAGAGAAGAGGAGAAAGCGTTGGAGACTAGCCGAGCTAGCTCTAGAGAGTCACGGACCCGAATGGGGAGGAGGTCGGCTGCCTTTGTGCACAGCAAATTAATAATTAATTAAAACTGATGGGCATCCGTGGCCAAAGCGTGGGACGCCGGTGCTTTCGGAAGCACGCGCGAGCCGCGAGACGGTTCGTTGTCTCGGGGAAACCTTCCGTCCGTAAGGCGGACGGCCATTTTTAGTCGTGGGGGATGAGGGCGGTTCTTGCTTTGTGGCAATTTGTTCCTTTCGTTAGACGGAAAGGGAAGCTTTGCTGAATTAACAACGTTCATTCGACGTGCCCACTCTACGTTCCTTACGTATTTTCCGTTCTCTCGAAAATCTCTTCGAATCGTCATTTGTCTACCGATCGATATACATTTAAAAGATACTTAAAGAGGCCGATCCAATTGTCCAATTTTTTCGCTCGAAAAACTCGTAATTCGTTTCCTCGCCGACAACCATCAACTGGTGGCTGTTCATCTTTCCTTTTTGTCGATTTTTCTGGCAACGCGCGCGCGCGCGCACACACTGTTGTAACCTCGTCGGCGAATTTCGAAAAACGCGTTCGCGTAATGGGGGGAAAATACGATTGCGAATTGAAGTCAGCCCAGCCGCGTTCAATTCGCCGCGGCGACAAGCTGCGGGAAAAATCGATTGTCCCGGCCGTAGTCGAGAGAGAGGGCACGACCTTGCACGCTCGAGAAAATCGAGCCAGACTTGCGGCATTTGCGAATCAAATTACTGTTAGCCGTCGGCCAACTCCAACGCGTTAGTTTATAATTTAACAATTTTTGCCAGGACCGCGCACGCCGGCAAACGTTGTTTCGTTGCACACACCCGCAGTGTGTGGCCACGATGCTTTCTTTCACGCCACTTCAACAGCGAGCTTTCAAGTCTCGACGATTTGTGCAGGTTATTTCCGTCGTAATACAGGTTACAACTCGTAATTCGTTATTAACCCATTAACGATTTCTCGCAACGTTTTCTATCAATTTGCTTTTGCAACAAACTCTATTTTTTTTAAATATTGTCATTGTTGTTATTTGTTTGGTTGCTGTTTAACGAACCTAATGAGATACAAAAATACAGAGGTGTGATACGCAACATGATACAGATCAGGGTTTCTCAAAGTGTGAGCCCATATGAGGTCGTGTAATTAAATTTGGGGGGATTTCAGCAGGAATTTTAGCAAAATTGAAAAATTAGCATGAATATTTGTCTTTTTTTATATTACATGATGAAATTATATTCCTATATATACCAAAGGATTGTTTTCGAATAAATTTTCTTTATGATTTATCATCAGCAATGTTTCAATCCCTAATTATTCCTGGTCTACATACCTTCTATACTCAGGATCGCTCGAATATTTTCTCGAATAAAGGGCGTGGCCAAGAGGAAAAGTTTAAGAAGACGAATGTGAAAAAAGTTCAAGAATACGTAATTCAACGCTTTTTCCACTCGCTTATAGATTCTTACTGTAATTTTACGAAATTTAAGGGATTGGAGGATTTGTAATATTGTAAGAATTAGATACGTTCATGGAAAATGAACATCGACGATGCAGAAATATATGAAATATTCAAAGTACAGTATCCTTCTCGTGATATTTAATGCACGAAATAATTCTTTATTTAGACTCTGTTCCTCAAAGACTTTACTTTCTCAGAGGTAAGAATTTGCATTCTAATTATAACAGATTATCGCTCGGTCTGCGATATCGAAATATTTCGCGGACAAGGTACGCGCTCGTCTTCAGATGCTCGGCTGCTCGTTTGCTCATTGCTCTTGATACTTTCTTTTCCCTCTCGCTAGGTCGCCGCTCTCGCGTTAGCGCTGATCAAAGAGACTACTGTACGGGACACGAAAATAGTTACATTCAAACTAGTGTTCTACAATCTATTCCATGGTAATTTTAACTCTTGAATGCTATAACACCACCCAATGAGACAGCTCCCAATTCACCTTCACTTCTCTTTCGGAATTTTCTTATTACCTTTTTCGAAAGAAGACTTGCTGTCGCGCTTCCAATTGTTTACCGTGTTAATATTTTAACAACACAAACATCTCCATGAATATCAACAATCAGCTAACTACGGCAGAATTCCGCGATACACTCGATTTATCGGAACGAAATTTTAGTTAATGCCTGATTAACCGAACCTTTGTCGATTGGATTCATTAATCTGAAACTATTATTCAAGCGAAAAGTACAGGTAAATTGGCCAACTATTATGCGTATTCCAATAATATAAACTATTTGCATAACAACTACGAATAAATTAAATTCTACCGTGCGTAATGGCAATCGCGAGCGTGATTAAAAATTTACCGACAGCAAAACGTCGAAAACGTGTTTTACCAATGTTGTGTACGAACTCGCGGAATACATTCACTTCCTATAAATATTCGACCAAATGTATTGAATATCTCATCGACCAATATAACTATATAACAATCGTGTTTCACTATAGCTTCAACGAAATTTCAAAACATATTGTGCAACGTGATATATTTGTAAAAAAAAAAAAAAAAAGGAAAAAAGTTCCCGCAAATATTTCGCGAGCAAAGAGCCTCAGCGTCGTTCGATCGACAATTATGGACAATTCTCTCGCGAGATTTGACTCGCTCCCTTTTGCGAAGAAAAGGGGAAAAAGAGGAGGCAACTGCCGGGAAAGACGGACAGTCTGAAAGACAGACAGACAGACAGACAGAGGCGAGAGCGCCGCGAGAGGATATAAATTTACCGCGGCCTAACGTTCTTACTCACGCATTTCTAAGCGATGTCTCGCTTACGGCCGCGCCCCCTCCCCCCTGTGCCCCCGTGAATCCTCCCCCTCTGCCTCGTTTTTCGCGCGCGTGTCCGTATTTATTTAGATTCGCGACAAGGTCCAACATCTCTGCCCTCCGCTGATGACTCACGACCGAGCACGGCAGAAGGGGTGAAGAGACACGAACGACAGAGAGAGAGGCTCGAAGAAGAAATTCTCATGAGCGCAGTGCGGAGAGGAACAGCGAATGGAGCCTTTGCCAAGATTCTGCTTAGATTTAAATCGGTCCGCGTGTATCCTCCCTCTTTTCCTTCGCCTTTTCTAACCATCGATCCTCTCTAGAAATATCCTGACGGATCGCGGATAAACTCAAAAAAACTTCGCGAAACTATTAAAAGATTCGGCGAGGAATGACAACGCCGTTCCTTTTAATAACTCCTTCAGGCAGGCATCTTTCCGAGTATCAATGAGTATCGATGATTCTTT